CTTTTCTGATCCTCCCCTTCTTCTACAGTACCCAATCCATCGTCTGATAAAACAGAGCCTTGGGGCAAGCTGCCCATACTCAGTTTGGTGTGTATTGCTAGAGCGCTTTTTTTTTTTTTTTTTTCTTGGGAGAGTGCATGTGATCGACTCCGGGCCAGTCAGCGCTGTCCAGAGGATCAGGGGTCCTGCAGCCTCATAGAACAGTCAGAGGAGAACGAAAACTCCTCCTACAAGCTTTAACCAGTGCTCAGCCGGACGCTGATAGAAGTCACAAGACTGCTGATGAGAAAAGGTATTTAACAGTTTATATTTATTAAAATAATTGCATCTCCATGTTCTGTATTGTAGGAGACCAGATAGAGTGAATGCAGGGTCCTGGGTTTAGTAACACTTTAATACAGGGGGGTTCATGTAATGCTACGTTAAGCTGTCAGAGACTGTAGACATGCAACAGGAGATGGTCAGAGACTGCAGACATGCTACAACTCATTGTCAGAGACTGTAGGCATGCTACAGAGACCATACATGACAAAATGTACTTCAGAAGATGTTGTAGACAGCCTTGAGGAGACAAATTACCTGAGACTGCTAGACAACACTGCTATTACAGTCTGTTTACAAACTGATGCTTCCATATTTGCAGGGGCGTCCCTAGGGTTGGTGTCACCCGGTGTGATAACACTGGGTGACACCCCCTCCAACGATCCCCGCAGAATGGATCGGATCTGCGGATTGAGCATAATGGATCGGAGTCTGATCTGAGAAGCTCTGAGGGGCACCAGACATTTACAGCATATACACCAACTGTGCTTGTGCTAGCTATACGTGTACTATTCTTGATATATCTGAATGCTTTTTTCTGATTTTTACACAATAATCTTCTATTGCATTTTCAATTATTGGCAGTGTTTATGTTATGTGCATCTGGACCTTTGTTCTGTGTTTATGCCAAATATACCACAAGAAACTATATTAGAATGAGGTAAATTAACCTAGCAATTGTGTATTGTTTGACAATAACCTAGAAAAAACAAGCATTCCACTTTACAGGTTAGTAGCAACTGATCTTTTTGTTTCTACTGCCATCTAGTGTGTATTTTGTATGCAGTATTTGTAATGTGATTGTAAATGCTTTTTTTTTCTTTGTCAAAAGTTTTTATTGAGACGCAGATCAATACAAAACAACTGATCCCTGTGCAGGGATACAGATCAGTATGTAAAGAGATGAAAAAACAGGCGGTATCTATAACATTTTCAGAGAATTAGAATCAGTATAATGCCGTCCTGTGACCGAGGTCACCATGTGGCTTCCATGTCCCAGGGACAAAGCCAGGGAGGATAAACAGTAGTCAAAAACGACAACTCTCTAGCGTTTCATTTAACAAGAGAGACAGGACAGAGGTGTAAACCAAAGGGAAAAGGAATTAGAAAAAAGAGAGCAGCCATGCCGGGAATGTAGTAGAAGAGAAAAATAGCCTCCTGCTGGCCTGGGTCATGGTTGGGAGTTAGAGGACCCTAAGCCCAACAGGGATAGGGTAGGGGACTCATAAGTCCACCGAGGATGCCAGATGTTCAGGAATTTAGCATGTGAATCACAAACAATACTGGCCATCTTTTCGTGTAACATCAAAGTGGTCAGGGTAAGTTTGACCTTACAGAAAGGGACAGAGGGTGATCTCCATGCTTTGGCAATGACCCATTTAATGGCAATGAAGATAGGTGGCTAGCTTCTGTTGATGGACATACAGTTGTGTTTAAAATAAAAGCAGTCAGACATCACTAACCTGATCAATCACTGTTTTTGGTAGAAATGATATTTCTAAACGGCAAATAATTTACTAGCAGGTGTAGTAGAGTAATAGAAATCCAACAGACCCAACAGTGATGACATGCATGCTGCTGATTCTGTGTAATTGAATCACTAATTGAAAGGGGCATGTTCAAAATAATAGCAGTGTGGAGCTCTATTAGTGAGGTCATTCATTCTTTGAAAAACAGGTGGCAATTATTGCCCTTATTTAAGGAAGGAAGGCAGCAAATATTGTACATGCTGGTTACAGTGCATTTCTCTCTGAAATTCTGAGGAAAATGGGTCGTTCCAGACATTGTTCAGAAGAACAGCGTACCTTGATTAAAAAGTTGATTGGAGAGGGGAAAACATATAAAGTGCAGAAAATGATAGGCTGCTCCGCTAAAATGATCGCAAATGCTTTAAAATGGCAACCAAAACCTGAAAGACGTGGAAGAAAGCGAAAAAAACTACCATTTGAATGGATAGAAGAATAGCCAAAATGGCAAGGACTCAGCCAACAATCAGCTCCAGGAAGATCAAAGAAGGTGTAAAGTTACCTGTGAGTACTGTTACAATTAGAAGACGCCTATGTGAAGCCAAGCTATCTGCAAGAAGCCCCGCAAAGTCCCACTGTTGAAAAAAAAGACGTGTGCTGAAGAGGTTACAATTTGCCAAAAAGCACATTGACTGGCCTAAAGAGAAATGGCACAACATTTTGTGGACTGATGAAAGTAAGATTGTTCTTTTTGGGTCTAGCGGCCGGAGACAGTTTGTCAGACGACCCCCAAACACTGAATTCAAGCCACAGTACACTGTGAAGACAGTGAAGCATGGTTGCGCAAGCATCATGATATGGGGATGTTTCTCATACTACGGTGTTGGGCCTATTTATCGCATACCAGGGATCATGGATCAGTTTGAATACATCAGAATACTTGAAGAGGTCATGCTGCCTTATGCTGAAGAGGAAATGCCCTTGAAATGGGTGTTCCAACAAGACAACGACCCCAAACACACCAGTAATCGTGCAACATCTTGGTTCCAGACCAGCAAGGTTATGGAGTGGCCAGCCCAATTCCCGGATCTTAATCCAATAGAAAACTTGTGGGGTGACATAAAAAATGCAGTTTCTGAGGCAAAACCAAGAAATAGAGAAGAACTTTGGAATGTAGTCCAATCATCTTGGGCTGGAGTACCTGTTCACAGGTGCCAGAAGTTGGATGACTCCATGCAACACAGATGTACAGCAGTTCTCAGAAACAGTGCTTATACAACTAAATATTAAGTGATTCAAAAGAAAGTAAAATCTTCAAACATTTTTCAGTTTATATAGTGAATGTTTGAGTTTGTAAAGAAGAATACAAACACTGCTATTTTTTTTGAACAGTCTAATATTCACTTTTCTTCAATTTTTTTAGAGGAACAAAACAAATTTGATATATTTTTCTTCATGTTTTGCTTTGGAATAGAATGTGTAGTGTTCTCCATGCATTTGTGTGTATGGAAATAAAAGCTATTAGAAGGATTTTGAGCTTTATTCACTTTTTTCAACACACTGCTATTATTTTGAATACAACTGTAAGTGAAGTGTCCTTGTCAGGAATGGACTGGCCAGCAATGGTGGGAGTCACCTGCCTTATGATCTGCAGTACCAGGGCTGGCCAGCAGGTGCTCCCAGCAATCAGAGACTCAACCTTGCAGCCAGCTAACACCTGGAACTGATTATACTGGTGTATTTAAGGGATGGCCAGACCTACAGACTCTGCCTTGTGTGTGTGTTTTCCTGGGCCCTGTATCCTGTCCCTGCATCCTGTTTCTGTTCCTGTTCCTGTCGCTGACCCTGTCTGATCTGATCTCTGCTGACTTCTCCTGCTCTGACCCTGGCTCGCTCCTGACCATCCCTCTGCCTGACCCTCTGTACCTCGCTGTCTGCTACCTGCTGAACCTGGCTTGTGACCCCGACCATTCTCCGCTTGCTCCCCCTGTACCTACCTGCCCGATTGATATTGACCCGGCCTGCCTGACGACGCTTGCATTGTATGTACTGTTATCTGTGGGTGGTTGGTTTGGTTTGTTTGCACTGTATTATGTTTTAGTATTGCACTGCGTTTATGTTTGTATTGTTAGTGTTAATAAATCGTATTGTTTATAACTTATCTGAAGCCTGCGGTTTCCCTGCGTCAGTCACACACCTCTGGTCACACCCCGGAGCCCTGACATTACACCAAGGCCAATCCTGACCAGAAGTGGCTGCACAGGGAAGCCCATCTTGGTTTTGTTGATGGGAAGGATGGATCTGGATGAGGGTTGTGTATTTATATCTGCTAGTGTTTGATGACAGGGAGTATGCTTATCAAACTCTGAAGGAGTATCTCAGGGATGAACTGCTAGAATGTATACGGCTCGCTCATGTTCTAGTAGATCAGGGCACAGAGTTCTCTGAGGTGCAGCCATTGATTGAGGTTTGTGCTGAGTTGGTTTCATCTGGTACCCCCGAATGCAGGGATGAATTTTTGCCGCCATTTAGTGCAGACCAGGTAGAGTCCCTGGTATGGTTATTAGAGGATGATGTGGATTACTTTCTGGAGCGTTATTCCACATGTTCACCACAGGTATTAAGGGATTGTATAAACGCAGTGCAGTCTTTGGTCAGACAGGCTTTGTGTAAGCTGAGCTTTGTTCAACCCATACTGCAGACATGGACAGACTTGTTGCACCCAGCCTCAGTCAGCTTACAAAGACCCAGTCCTGCTTCCAATGTATTTCCTCAAAGCTCTATTCCTGCATTCCCAACAGCTCCTCCTGCCCTGCTATCTACTGCATGTCAGTACCCTGTTCCCACTCGCTGCACCTATCCTGCCTTTAACCCTGTAAAGAAGCCCTCTGTAGCGACTGTTCCTTCCCTGTTCCATCCTCCAGCTCTTCTCTGTCTCCAGCTGCTCCATTCGTTTGCAGACCTGCGTTTACTTGCAGTGCCCCAGTAGTTAAAACCAGAAAAAAGCGAAAATTCTTTCCAACCAGTACCATCCTGCCAGTATCCAAACCGGTGAGCCTGCCGTCTGAGAAGCTGCCTTCCGTGGTTCAACCTGGTGCCTCGGCACCCGCACTTCAGCCTGATGCCTGTACCCAGCCTGATGCCTCTACTCAGCCTGATGCCTCTACTCAGCCTGATGCCTGTACCCAGCCTGATGCCTGTACCCAGCCTGATGCCTGTACCCAGCCTGATGTCTCTACTCAGCCTGATGCCTCTACTCAGCCTGATGCCTCTACTCAGCCTGATGAACTGATCCAGCCTGATGATCCTATTAGGCCAGTTGACCCGATGCCCGCTGTCGAGCGAGACTATCCAATGCCTGGTGACCCGGGTGCCCACTGCCTTGCCAGATGACGCGGTGCCCGCTGGCAAGCCAAATGACCTGATGCCTGGTGACTTGGTGACCCGATGCCCGCTGTCGAGCCAGACAATCCGGTACCTAATGACCCGGTGCCCGCTGTCGTGTCAATGGACTCAGAGCCCACTGTCATGCCTGGTGACTTGGTGCCCACTGCCTTGCCAGATGACGCGGTGCCCGCTGTTGAGCCAAGTGACCTGATGCCTGGTGACCCGATGCCCACAGTCTTGCCAGACGACTCGGTGCCCGCTGTTCCGCCAGTTGACTCGATGCCCGCTGTTCCGCCAGACGACTCGGTGCCCGCTGTTCCGCCAGTTGACTCGGTGCCCGCAGTCTTGCCAGACGACTCGGTGCCCACAGTCTTGCCAGACGACTCGGTGCCCGCAGTCTTGCCAGACGACTCGGTGCCCGCTGTTCCGCCAGTTGACTCGGTGCCCGCAGTCTTGCCAGACGACTCGGTGCCCGCAGTCTTGCCAGACGACTCGGTGCCCGCTCTTCCGCCAGTTGACTCGATGCCCGCTGTTCCGCCAGACGACTCGGTGCCCGCAGTCTTGCCAGACGACTCGGTGCCCGCAGTTTTGCCAGACGACTCGGTGCCCGCAGTCTTGCCAGACGACTCGGTGCCCGCAGTCTTGCCAGACGACTCGGTGCCCGCTGTTCTGCCAGTTGACTCGATGCCCGCTGTTCCGCCCAGACGACTCGGTGCCCGCAGTCCTGCCAGACGACTCGGTGCCCACAGTCTTGCCAGACGACTCGAAGCCCGCTGTTCCGCCAGTTGGCTCGGTGCCCGCAGTCTTGCCAGTTGACTCGGTGCCCGCAGTCTTGCAGTTGACTCGGAGCCCACTGTCGTGCCTGGTGACTCTGTGCCCGCCGCTCTGCCTGAGGGCCCGAGACCTGTCGCCCCGCCTGGGGGTCCGGCGCCCGCCGCTCCGCCTGGTGGCCCGATGCCTGTCGCCCCGCCTGGTGGCCCGATGCCTGTCGCCCCGCCTGGGGCCCGGTGCCTGTCGCCCCGCCTGGGGGCCCGGTGCCTGTCGCCCCGCCTGGGGGCCCGGGTGCCTGCTGCTCCGCCTGGTGGCTCGGTGCCTGCTGCTCCGCCTGGTGGCCCGCTGCCTGCTGCTTCGCCTGGTAATCCGATGTGCCTCTGCCCGGAGTCCAGCCCGATGTGCCTCTGCCGGAGTCCAGCCCGATGTGCCTCTGCCCGGAGTCCAGTCCGATGTGCCTGATGCCCGGAAGTCCATTTCCCCCCCCCCCCCCCCCCCCCCCCCCCCCCCCCGGCCCCCCCCCCCCCCCCCCCCCCCCCCGATGTGCCTCTGCCCGGAGTCCAGCCCGATGTGCCTCTGCCCGGAGGTCCAGCCCGATGTGGCCTCTGCCCGGGAGTCCAGCCTGATGTGCCTCTGCCCGGAGTCCAGCCCGATGTGCCTCTGCCCGGAGTCCAGCCCGATGTGCCTCTGCCCGATGTGCCTCTGCCCGGAGTCCAGCACGATGTGCCTCTGCCCGATGTGCCTCTGCCCGGAGTCCAGCCCGATGTGCCTCTGCTCGATGTGCCTCTGCCCGGTGTGCCGCTGGCCAGAGTCCTGCCTGGTGTGGCCGCTGCCCGGAGTCCTGCCCGGTGTGCCAGTCTTTGATATCCCGCCAGTTACCATACCCGGGCGGTGGAACATTTTGCCCAGCTAGGACTGTTTGGAGCGTACCTGAGGCCGCTCCTTGAGGGGGGGGGTACTGTCAGGAATGGACTGGCCAGCAATGGTGGGAGTCACCTGCCTTATGATCTGCAGTACCAGGGCTGGCCAGGCGGGTGCTCCCAGCAATCAGAAGACTCAACCTTGCAGCCAGCTAACACCTGGAAATGATTATACTGGTGTATTTAAGGGGATGGCCAGACCTACAGACTCTGCCTTGGTGTGTGTTTTCCTGGCCCTGTATCCTGTCCCTGCAACCTGTTTCTGTTTCCTGTTCCTGTCGCTGACCCTGTCTGATCTGATCTCTGCTGACTTCTCCTGCTCTGACCCTCGGCTCGCTCCTGACCATCCCTCTGCCTGACCCTCTGTACCTCGCTGTCTGCTACCTGCTGAACCTGGCTTGTGACCCCGACCAATTCTCCGCTTGCTCCCCTGTACCTACCTGCCCGATTGATATTGACCCGGCCTGCCTGACGACGCTTGCATTGTATGTACTGTTATCTGTGGGTGGTTGGTTTGGTTTGTTTGCACTGTATTATGTTTTAGTATTGCACTGCGTTTATGTTTGTATTGTTAGTGTTAATAAATCGTATTGTTTATTTAAATTATCTGAAGCCTGCGTTTCCCTGCGTCAGTCACATACCTCTGGTCACACCCCGAGCCCCTGACAGTCCTGACAAACATGAATTTACTACCAATATTTAAAGTTCTAGAATAGAAGAGATTCTACATACACTTGATTCACTGCTAAATAGAAGTCCTGGAAAACATAAGAGACACGGGTAACTACAGCAATGACTCCGAAAAAAATCGGACCTCAATTTTTTGTGTTCTTTTCTTTAGGAGACTAAAGGATCATTCAGATCAGGCTGAATGTTTTAGTTATTTAAGGAATAGTTGTTTTGGGGATATGGTTGGGTATTCGTTATTATAATGTCATTATGATATTTAATTCCTGATTAGTTTGTACTTGTACCCTTTACTATTTAATAGTTGTAATGTTCAATAGCTGTGTCTATATCTTTGAATCATTTACACAATTCCTTTCTATAATTTTTATATCTCTTTGCTGAACTCTCCTATGGATCCTTAACAGGAACTTTAGTAGAATGAAAATAAGTAACTGGCTTATTGAAGTGCCTTAATTTTGGTAAAATCTGTTGTAACAGAGCTTTATTAATGTCAAGGTCCTACCTTTTCCCTGAGGTTATGTTACTCCATGTGCTGGTGGCTCCATCTTGGATTCTGCTGTGCATGATGGGAATCCTTTTATGCCTTCAGGTCTCTGTGGTCCATCCCCCAGAGGGGTGTGGCTGATGACATATAAGCCTGTGGCCCGCACATGCCTCTTTGCACTTGTGTCTTGTGTCTTTGTGTTGCTATTTACTCTGTTTCTGACTCTCGTGACTCTCCTGGTATCTGATTCGGCTTGGTGACTTGACTATTCTTTGTATTCTCCTTTGATCTGAACCCTCTGTTGCTGAACCCAGCTCGTGACCTGTGATTTCTCGTCTGCTGTCCTGTACTGTTTTGTCCTGTTGTTGTTGACCCGGCTTGTCTCACTACTCTTTTGTCTCTTCCACCAGATACACGCCATTGGGGCGGAACATTACCGCAGCTGAGGTGTCTCGGGGGCCGCGACCTGGTTCCTGGCTGCGTCAAGTCCATCCCAACCATCAGGGGGCCCTGGTGAAGGGCAGCCTGGGACTTAGACTACGCGCCCCCGAGGGACTTCGGTCTGTGGGTGGTGGTTGTCGTCAGCCAGTGCGTTACATTGTTAGGCCATGCCTGTCCGTTCCTCGGCCCCTGCCCTGACAATTAACCACTTCAATACTGGTCACTGTCATCCGCTTCCTGCCCAGGCCAATTTCCAGCTTTCAATGCCGTCACACTTTGAATGACAATTGCGCGTTAGGTCATGCAAGACTGTACCTATATGAAATATTTTTATCTTTTTAGAGAAAGATAGAGCTTTCTTTTGGTGGTATTTAATCACCACTAGGTTTTCCTACTTTTTGCTAAACAAAAAACTAAAGACAGAATGTTTAAAAACAAGTATATAAATAATGTTTTTCTTAGTTTTTGTTATACCAATTTTGCAATATAAGTAACTTTTCTTCTTCACTGATGAGGCTGCACTGATGGGAACCACTGATATGCTGCATTGATGATCAGTGTAAACCATGTACTGACAGCCTTGCCAGTTTTCGGCTTTCGCCTTTTCTCACACAAGTCATGTGAGGAAAGGACGGCCAATCATGGCAAGTCTGTTAATGTGATAGTGTTAGGAATGGACTGGCCAGCTATGGTGGGAGACTCACCTGCCTTTGTGATCTGCAGTACACAGGCCTTGTCCAGCGGGTGCTCCCATGCAATCAGGAGACTCAATCCGTCCAAGCCAGCTAACACCTGGAACTGATGCTGCCTGGGTTATTTAATGGATGGCCAGACCCACCGACTCTGCCTTGTGTTGTGTTTGTCCTGGGCCTGTATCTGTCCTGCATCCTGTTTCTGGCCCCTCTGGCCCTGACCCTCTGTACTACGCTGCCTTGTTACACCTTTTTTGAATCTCTGGCTTGTGACCCTGACCTTCCCTCTGCCTGACCCTCTGTACTACGCTGCTTGCTACCTGTCTTAACCTGGCCTGTGACTCCCGACCATTCTCTGCCTTTCTCCCCCTCGTACCTACCTGCCCAAATTTGATATTGACACGGCCTGCCTGACGGACGCTTGCTTGTATTTACTGTAATCTGTGGGTGGTTTTGGTTTGGTTTTGTTTGCAACTGTTATTATTCGTTTAGTATTCGCACTGCGTTTTATGTTTTGTATGGTTAGTGTTAATAATATTGTAAACTGTTTTATCACATATCCTGAAGGTCTGCTTTTTCCCTTCATCAGTCACACACCTCTGGTCATTTACCTGGTAGCTCCCTGGACATTACACCAAAGGCCAATCCTGACCAGAAGTGGCTGCACAGGGAAGCATCTGGTTGTGATGGGAAGATGGATCTTGATGAGGTTGAATATATATATTCTGCTGTGTTTGATGACAAGGAGTATGTTTCAAAAAATCTGGGAAGGGGGTATACCCCGGATGGAAAATGCTTGAAAGTATTTCGGCTCGCCATGTTCTGTAGGTTTAGGGCACCGAGTTCTCTGAGGTGCAGCCTTTTTATTGAGGGTTTTTGAGAGTTGGTTTCATTGGTTCCCCCGGGAAAGGGAGGGATGATTTTTTTCCACCATTTAGTGCAAAAACCAAAAGGGAGGTCCCTGGTGTGGTTATTAGAGGTTTATGTGGGTTAAATTTTGGGGCGGGGTTTTTCCAAAATTTTTCAACCCCGACACTAAGAGTTTGTTTAAACGCAGTGCGCTTTTACCAGAAAGGGTTTGTGTAAGCTCGGCTTTGTTCAAAACCATACTGCAGACCCTGGACCCGATTTGTTGCACCCAGCCCCGTCAGCTTACCCAAAGGGCCCAGTTTCCCGGGTTCTTTTTTTTTTTCCCCAAAACTTATTCCCTGCAATTTCCCAAACCCGCCCCCCTGCCCCGTATCTACCGCATGTCAGTACCCTGTTCCCATCGCTGCACCTATCTGCCTTTAACCCTGTAAAAGAGCCCTCTAGTAGCAACCGCTCCCTCTCCTGTTCCATTCCCTCCCAGTCCTTTCTTCCCTGTCCTCAGTGCTCCATTCGTTTGCAGACCCTGCGTTTCTTGCAGTGCTCCAGTAGTTAAAACCAGAAAAAAGCGAAAATTCGTTGCCAACCATTACCATCCTGCCAGTTGCCAACGTGAGCATGCTTCCGTGGTTCAGTGATGCTCTATCAGCTGAAGCTCTACTCAGTGAGCCTTACTCGGCCTGAAGCCTCTACTCGGCCGGAAAGCCTTTACTCGGCCTGATGCCTCTACTCGGCTGATGCCTTCTACTCGGCTGATGGCCTCTACTCAGCCTGATGCTCTACTCGGCCTGTTGCCTCTCTGCAGCTGATGCCACGGTACGCAGCCTGATGCCGGTACGCTGACGATGCCTTCTTTAGCCCGATTTCCTCTCCCCGGCCTGAAGCCCCCCCTACTCGGCCTGAAACCTTACTCGGGGCCCGATGCCTTCCTTTCTCCCCCTGATGCCTTATTTGGCCCGAAGGGCCCCTTTTCGGTGATGCCTTTTACTCGCCCGATGCCCCCTTTCTCGGCCTGTTTCCTCTTTCTCGGGCCTGAAGCCTTCCCGGCCCCGAAGCCTCATCAGCCCCGGGCGCCGGCATTCAGCCTGGAAAACCTTCCCACCCCCCGGGGATGAGAACTGTTCCAGCCTGAGATCCTTTTTAGGCCGGGTTTAATCCGGGCCCGGGTGTTGG